ATGTTTTGCCAAGATCTGTGTTGATCCTGGGAATAGTGTAAAGAACACGACTTTAAGAGCGTGAGTTGTAACCACTGTTAGCTACAGACATGAGGTGACATGGTGACAAATAGTTTCTTATTTTATCTTTTTCACCATTCAGGTTAGAAAACGACAGACTGTGTCACTTCAGTATAAGAATAATGTTTATCAGAATTAGAATCAGAAATACTTTAATAATCCCAGAGGGAAATTACTTTTGTTACACGCTCCAGTTACAGTATTATATATATATACACACATCCAGCTGCACAAGATAATAAAGATAAAAATAAAAAGATAAAATATATACACATATAGCCCTTCTATATATATATATACATAAGTGTATATATATATGCATATGTAAAACTAACTCCAAGTAAAGTGATAAATCTAAGTAAAGTGATACGTGTCGTGCAAAAATAGTGCATAAATGTCAATTACGGGGGGGTCAGAATCACTTGAGTGAGGCGTTATATAGGTTGATGACCACAGGTAGGAATGATTTCCTGTGGCGCTCTGTGGTGCATCTGGGTAGGAGGAGTCTTCTGCTGAAGGAGCTCGTCTGCTGGACCACTGTGTCATGGAGAGGATGTGAGTAATGTCGCACAAAGAAAAGCATTTCATATGAAGCCAAGGATGTCTGACCTTGATGTGTAGAAACATTAAAAATGAAGCAGCAGCTTTTTTCTTGTGTTCTGAACGTAGCGTTTTCTGTTGGAGGCTCTCTCTGTTCTGTCTGAGGTTTTCATGTAGTTAATCGATCAATTAGATCGATCAGAACTGAATAATATGAGCTGAAGTAGAGAAACGCATAATGGTAGATTGGACCAATGAAATTATGACTTACATTTAAAGTAAAAAGAAATGACAAGGAAAACTTTATTACCTTATATCAATGGCATAATGTGTAATTATCTTGTTTTTAGGGTGAAAATACCAGTTTTTAGATGAGTTTTTGCAGCATATCAGCACATCATCATCATCATCATATGGAACAGGTCTGATCTAAAGTGGTTTGAACCCGAGCAGCGTTTAGATAATCCAGTATTTGTCTGTCAGCGTCTGGGTGTGTAATTGTCTGCTTCCCACTGACTTCCTGACTCTTTGCTTCACAGTCTGACTGAATCAAATCAATTCAGTGGAACATTAACTCATTAGGTTTGTTGACTCTCCGTTTAGCCAATTACAAGCTGTGTCCAGACAAAGATGGCTCTGTTAGCGCTCATATACTCCCTCTCTCACTCTCCCAGTTTTCCATTACGCCTGGAAGCACCGAGGTTCTTCCACTGACGCTGATTGTTTGCCTTAAGCATGACACACAGTATTTAAAGCGTTTCCTTTGAGAACACGTTCAGCCCAGTGTGATCCTTGTAATTCAAAGGGGCTTTTTTCACGTTTTGTTTCATCCATTAAACCTTTCTAGGTGACAGAGCAACGCTAACCAGAGAAGCTCTCTGTACTAATGTAGACCCCAGCATGTGACGGTCTTTACATCTGGATGTGTCACACAGTGAAGCAATAAAGTCCCCATAAATGGTCCTAGTGCATGCTCACTTCTCTTTCCAGGAGGTGTTGGGTGTGTTAGCTTTCTCCCTGATCTCTGCTTCATGTTCCTGTTTAAACATTAATGTCCTTCACAGAACAACACACTGCAAACATTGAAATCCGAGTCATTTTATCTCATATTGAGGAGGTAAGTGAGACACTTTGCCAGAACTGGACAGTTTACAGTAAGAATAAGAAAAAAAACATTGCATTGTCACATTTCAGTTGCCTATATTCTAATTATCCTATTTTAATACTAGATGTACTGATTCCTTAAAGGAATAGTACACCCAAAACATGATTAGCCTTCATTTTCTACTCACCCCCATGCTGAACAACACTCTGGAGTACT